ATTGTGTGTTTGTCATAATTCAGGTGCTCACCAGGTGTGGGAAGGGTCTCATTGTGTTGAAGAACAGGCCGGTAAAACCGAGTCTCAGGGTCCAACCGGGGCAGAATGGAGATACCGTTCCTCTGTAGGTGGAAACCTGATAAAGAAGAATCCTGGTCACTTCTGAAGTTTGTTTTTCAATTTTTACTAAGCAAGTTTATGAATTTGAAACTGCAGCTGGGAAAGTGGGACAAAATGTTAGGGTTTCAATTTGACAGGATTATTGATTTCTTTGTAGTTTTTCAGTATTTTTTTTTTTTTATAAAATTTTAACCATAAAAACTTCAGTAAGAGCACCCTTACTCTTCACTTTTAAATAATATGTGCATAAAATTGGAGAAACATCAATGCATCCATTGTTAAAAGCAGAGATCAGGATACTAAGGCTTGAATTGTAGTGAGACCCATGGACCACAAGAACTGTACTAAATTCGTGATGGCCACGGAGGGTTTTGGGGTTTTCAAACATTTTTGGGCAAGATTCTTATCAATGTAAGACCTTTAAAAAATCAGATAAAACCAAACATTCTTAAGTTGGAAAATGAACAATATATCATTTTATTAATTCTTTTCTTAACTGACAATAAATAGGACCAGAGCCACACAGTCAGCACCAAGTGGCACTAAATACATCTATCTCAATGGAGCCACATTGTTGTTGCTTAGAAGTGACTGAAACTCTTCTTATCACAAAGACAATTGAAAAACAATGGTTTAAAAAAAACTGCAGATTTTGTTATCTTCTAAATTCTCTATCATATTCACACCATCTGTGGCTGAAACCCACAGTGTGAGAGAACAAAACTGCAGCACCACCAGAGACCTCTAAAGCAATGATTACTGCCTGGAAGAGGAAACCACCAGCATGAACATTTATATCATATCAGCAAAGTCAGGAGTTATGTTAGTCTATAGAGATATGTTCAACACTCAGTTAAACGTGTATATTCTATAACACATTAGTTTGATTAGCTTATTTTCACAGAAATTAGTTTATGTAAAAAAATCTGACATTTGACTTTTCAGTGATCACTGCTGCCTTTATATTAAAATATTCAAAAATCAATAGAGGACCAACAAAAAGTGACCTGTTTACTAATTTTAAACAAATAATGTGTGTAAAAAACAATGTCAAAGTATAGCTGAAATTACCTGGAACGAAAGCAGTTAGGAGGAAAACAACCAGTCCGTTCGTACGAGCCTTTAGCAGCATGGTATACGAAGAACAGCGAAGAGGTAGACGAAATGAATTCTCAAAGGAAGTGGAGCTGTGGTGTGATTCGTAAATATGAGAGCAGTTCAGCGTTGCTTACCCAGACATATGAAAAGAGGTGTCACCACGAACACTGAGACCACAGAGGCAACAACGGCTGTAAAGAATTCACAATGCATGATGGAAACTTTAACTCATCAAGTGGTCAGAAATAAATCACCTTAAACATTGCATGTGAATAATGCAGGATTTTATTTATTGTAAAAACACATAAAGATGATGGGTTATTCAGTAGATTTAACAGCATTCCTATAGAGGTGTCAGGCAATAAACTTCAGTTTATTGTGTTTTAAAAAGGTTTATTCTCCGCCTCCTCCTCAATGAGTTACATATGACTTAATGATGAGCATATACTGAAAGTGTTTTCCCATTCCATATTTCTGCTTTTTTGTAAAATTCAGAGGTTTCACATCATTAAGTAAAGTTTAAAATCCTAATTTCATTCATTTCAAAGAATAAAAACTATCTAAACACACCTGACCCCATGTGAAGATACATTCCTCCCTAAAACTTGGAGCTGGTGGTGTCATCGCTGGCTCCAACAAGGGAAATCAAGTGTTTGTTATAACTGGTACAATATGTTTTAGATGAGATAATCGACTGAAGGCGTCTTAATTTGTGAGATTCTACCATTTGAGCCCCAACAACATCAGAATATCTGCAGCTCTGTTTCTTGGAGAATTGGTGTAACTCAACCACCTTGGGTGATTGAAAAACTGAAGGAGCCTGGTGTAGGTGATCATATTTCAAAATTGGGTTTACAGTTACGACTAAATATTTACATATGAATAGAGGGCTATTATGTGAGACAAGAATAGAATAGAATAAAGCAGAATAGAATAGAATAGTACAGAAGAATATAGAATAGAACTATATAGAATACAACATAATGGAATAAAATAGGACAGAATAGTATAGAATAGAACTGAATAGAATATAACATAATGGAATTGAATAGAATAGAATATGGGAGGAGTTCAGTATTGCTTACCCAGGCATATGAAAAGAGGTGTCACCATGAGTGCTGAGACCACAGAGGCAACAACGGATGTAAAGAATTCACAATGCATGACTGAAACTTTAACTCATCAAGTGGTCAGAAATAAATCATCTTAAACATTGCATTGAATATAATATAAAATATAAAAGACAATAGAATTGAACAGAACAGAACATAATAGAAAAGAATAGAATACAATAGAAAATAATAGAATATAATATGATAGAATACAATACAATAGAATAGAATAGATTTGAACAGAATAGAATAGAACAGAACAGGACAGGACAGGACAGGACAGGACAGGACAGAATACAATAAAATAGAAAAGAACAGAATAGGACAGAATAGAATAGAACAGAACAGAACAGAACAGAATAGAATAGAATAGAATAGAATAGAATAGAATAGAATAGAATAGAATAGAATAGAATAGAATAGAATAGAATAGAATACAACAGGACATGACAGGATAGGATAGGTAGGTAAAAACATACATATATCAGCATTGTTGTAAACGGCTAGTGGGCCTCTTGAAAGCAGTGAAGAATTTACAGTCTAAGAGCAGCTGGGAGGAAGGATCTGCTGTAGAGCTTCTTTGTGCACCTAGGACAAAAAAGTCTATCAACAAAAGAGCTCCCTGTTTTTTAGCAGTGAATTAGAGGGACATATGTGGATATTTTTGGTTAAAGTGCACCTTAAACATAAAGCTTCGTTGTACTCCCTGTCTGCCCCTTCTAATAGTTTTTCCTCAGTCAGGGGTAACCAGTTTATTAGTAGATTCCATTCACCAGTGTCTCTGCATTTAGCCTATAGCCTACACCTGTTATCTGCTCTATTTAAGCCCTCAGTTGTTTTCATTTATCCATAGATTCTTCGTTTTCTTCCTAACTTTATACTTGGTTTCTATGCTGTAAGTGTTTTGTTTATATTCTTTATTAAAGTTTTCAGTTCACCATGCTGAGTGTATGTTTAATCTTGTTGTAGAAAATGGAACTTTGATAGCCTGACATGATAGAAAACTCTTAACCAATCAGACAAAGACTGTGGACCTGTCTCGGTCATCATTAGAAGAACTTTTCAAATGCCTGAAGGAGCTACGCTGATCTGTCAAAGATATGTTTGCAAGTGTAAACAGCAAGAGAAGGCTGGCTTAGATTGTTAAAGAGAGTGGTTATGCACAGGAAGATGATTCCAGTGCCAATGTGGACACAAAGGGCACTCAGTAAGGAAGAAGCTGTTTTTTAATAAATATAGAATCTGTCATTCTCCTTAAAAAATATAAAGGAATGGAACCCCTGCTCTAAACTGACCCCTTCAGGCCCAGCTGAAAATTTCAGCTTTCTACAAACAACAACCCTGCTGGAGAAGATCAAGGTAACTGTCGAACATGATGGTACCATTATCATGCTCTTAGATGGTAAAACTAATGGTAATGCAAAATGGAAGGCATTTAACTGCCTTGACATTCTTTAAAAATGATTGTTAACTATCTTATCATTGCTAACTTTAACTGGATGGGACAATTATCTTAAAGTGACTTTAAAATTAGCTTTGACAGATTGTTTTTAAATGATCTCCCAAATGGATAGTTTTGAAAAGAGTGCAAAAAGTGTTAAATTGAGCCAGAATTATACAAAAAAGTTGTTGTTGGATGCAATAAATGGACAATAAATGCAACTTTCTGAGAATGTTTGAGTTACAATGCACAATGTAAAACCTGAATATGTAATATTGACCAAAGGTGGACTGGAGAGAAAATGCTTAATGAATTAAGACATAGATATCACTTTCTTGCTTGTGGAGATCAGTAAAGTTGTATAACTGTTCAAACCTGAACAACTCAGGGTTCATTAAATCTGTTCTTTGTTACTTCTGAAAAAAGGTCTATAAATAAGACACTTTCTAAACCATAGTTACAAATACAGTAAAAATAAGAAAATAAAAAGAAATTGACTACCAGATTTTGTTTTAATTTTACACTTTGGAATCAGAAATAAAAAAAGTTTTTAAGTTTAAATAATGTTTTACATATATGAAGAATTTGTTTAGGTGATACAGCAGCACACAAAGACCAACAAAAATACAGCTGAGATTAAAACTTGAGGATATATAATCTGGAATAAACAAATGCAAGTTGTTTAGGAATGATGGAACTTTCTATATTTCACATCTCTAAATGGGGCTGAGGTGACTTATTAACCATAAACAAGCAAACACAGGTGCAGATCCACAGAGCAGGTTTCATAATTTGTTGATCTTGATGGATGCTGTTGAATCTGAGCTCACTTTAGCTTGTTTTTTGGGGAAATCTGAGTGGCCGAGGTTAAAGGTCCACCGGGACAAAGTCCCACATCAAACATACTGTAGACACAAAAACACAATGAACATGTTAAAAGTGACCTGTAAACACAAATGTTACAGTCAATGTGGTTAAAGTTAGTTTATTTCTTTGTGGCTCTTTGTGTTTATCTGATTCTGAGGATAATTAGAAGTTTGTATGTTTTATTTTTTTAATCTCTCTGCCTCTGAAACAGACTGATGTATTGACTCAACATGTGGGAGGGCAAACCGAAAAGCAAACATTTACTCCTCTTTTACCAGCTGTGCATGGTGGGTATTGTCCTATGTGTGTGTGTGTGTGTGTGTTTGTGTCCTTTCTGCCCTTCAGTCCACCGTACATTTGTTATCATCTTTCTCAGGAATTCCAGCTACAGTTAGAGAACTTTGCTCAGTCATCTGAACAAGAGAAAGAGGAGTCAGGATTTTCCTCTTCTAGACCAACAGGCCTCCATCTTCACTAACTGTAAGCCTGAATTCAATAGGAAAAGCTTGTTTTCTACTGTATATAAGAAATGTTTAGATTCCTTGTAGGATTAGGATGTAAACAGTCTTATAATTTGTTTGATTTTATTTGTTCTATGATGTGCAGTAAGAGAGAAGTAAGGCAGCCACCGACTTGAATGATGAGGAGCGGAGTGGTGCTGTTTGTTCTGGGTCTGCTGTGCTTCTGCAGCTCCGTTTTTGGGCAGGTAAGAACCACACTGGGTTAAAAAAAACACACACGAGAACTTTATAAAGACAGAGAACATGATTGTTCATCTCTAGCACACTTTGAAAACAAAAAACAATGCATTTTTACTGAGTTTCTAACAAATTCTTTTAATTGCTGGCAAATGTCTGAGCTGTTGGAAGAATTATGTTGATTTTAATTCTTCTAGCTTTAGTTTATCTGATTACCATATCAATGTCCAGTTAACTTTGTTTAGATAAGAGACCAAACTCTAATCTAAGTCGTCTCTGAGCTCTGATCAGTGACCCTAAAAAGCACCTTGGAGTTCTCTCTCCACGCTCCGATCTGCACATCTCACTTCACCTAAGCAGAAAAAGTGAAGTCAAATAATAATCATAATTAATTTAACATTTTTCTTATTCTAAATAAGAAAAATAAACATTTTTAAGTGCATACTAATGAAAAACTTTCTTTTATTTTTATTTTTTTTAATAAGATGCAGTAAAATGCATCAGAACCACTCAGTGAAAATATTCTAAAATTTAGGCAAAAAGAAAAAGAAATCCGACAAAAAACCGATTGATCAAAATCACAAAATATTTAATCGCAAAGCAATCATAGGGAAGGCATTACTTTGTTAAAGTAGCATAACTTCTTAGGTGTCACATTTCTAATGACGCCGGCCCGGCCTGAGGCATGAATAACATTTATGAGTAATTCAATTTTCACAAAAAAAAAAAAAATGTGCAGCTTGAAAAGATATAATAGAAAAGGGTAGAATTACGTTAATTACCAAGGAACAGAAAATATTGATAAATATAAAGATAATGATTAAATTAAACAGTTTATTTGGGGTGTTTATTAATAAATGATTTACAGTTGCTGATGTATTTGTGAAGCAAAATCCATTCTATAGTTTGCTTGCTTGTCAGCTGATAAATGGGTAAAATGTCAAAGTCAAAATGGTTCCTGGGGTGAATGGTTGGTTCAACTGAAACTGGAGCCTACGAATAAAATTCTGCTTAGGACCACATATAACCATGGGACAGTTCTGATTGTCTGTTATTAAAGCAAATCATAATTAAAGCACAAATGAGGTGAAAAGAAGTGTGGAGTGATTAAACTACAATAAATTATATTGATTATGATTCACTAATCTCACAAATCTAAAGAACAATATTTAAGGTTGAACTCTTTACTTTCCCGAACCTAAATGTGAGGAGGCAGGATCACATCAGAAGTAATTTAATAAAAACCAAAGTAGACTTAAAAAACTTTTAAAGAATTTGAGATTCCTTTAAAATCTCCACAACGATAATAACTAATTCAGATGGAAAACATTAATGAGAACTCTTCATTCATGAAATTATAAATGAAATTAGTAAGTAATGAATTCAGTGTAAATTATGAAATGAACGATCAAAATATTTTTAATTAATTAATTAGAAGCGTATTTATGACTTAATTCTGGATCTAATGGCTAGTTTTCATCTGTGAGGAAAAATTTTTAAAAGATTATCTTTGAGTCTCTAGAGCAGTGATTCCCAACCAAGGGTACTCGTACCTCTAGTTGTCCATGAGAGCATTACAAGGGGTACATGAAAATATTTTATTTATTAGGTACTAAAATAAAACAGGGCAGGGATCTGTTTTGCTATTTAAGAGCCCAATGGAAAAATTAAACAAGATTTTATCAACAAAAAAGTAAGTTTTTCTTCTATTTTTGAGTTCATCCTGAGCTGTGACACACATCAAAACCAAGCAGAGGAACAGACTACAAGAAAAGAACAGCCTGGGATCAGCTGTTTTTCACACTGAGCTATCGGAGCTCATCAAAGCAGCTCAGGTGTCTTGATGAAAACAAAGTAAAATTAATTAAGTTAGTCTGACAATAATTTTTGTTCTGTATTTTGTTCTGAATTCATCAAGTTTAAATGGAATTACTGAGAGGAGCTCAAGTTTTATAGATACATGTTTATAACAGGATTTTTTCTCATATTTATTAAGATTCCTCACCAACTTTCAGGCAACACATTTATGTTGTTTTTTATTTTAGATGGAAATAATTAAATGTGCAAATTAAAAGATTAGGTTAAATAGTTTTTATTTTATAATCATCAATGATTTTGACTGAGGGGGTTACCCATGGTAAGACAAAATACCCAAAGGGGTACACAAGTCAAAAAAGGTTTGGAAACACTGCTTTAACGACCCATTACATTATCCACTTTCAAGTATTTCAACCATCATTAGGAAGAACGAAGTGCCTTACTTTTTAAGGATCATGTGGTCTCACCTCTCAAGGGACCCGCAGGATTTTAGCAGGCAGGTGGTTTATAAGCCTACTTTATACTTTGTGTGACTTTTAATATTCACTTCAACTTGATGCAGCAAAGCCATCAGAGAAACATGATCTGTCCTCTTTGAGTTTGATGCCAGCTCTCTGTTTCTTTTGATTTGTCCAGGATGCTGAGGGGACTGAGCAGGGTGTTCAGGTCTTCTGTGATGACATGCACGTGCAAAAGGCTGCCCACAGCGCCTTGCACAAGTTCAACGACAAGTTGACCACTGGATACAAGCTGGCTCTCTTTCAGATCACATCCGCCAGAAAGGTACAGCTCCTAAAAAAAAAGTACAACTTTCTGTAGAAGTGCAAAGAAATCATTATCTTGTTGTTAAAGGTACAGTGGAGGGTTTTCTTTTTACGGGTGGATCATAAAAATAAGTGGTTTTCCTAATTGTCAATCATTCTGGTGATATCTTTATGTAAGGCCATCCTACGTGCTAGTCCCCATTTTCACTTACCAGTGGTGAGTCTGACATAGTGAACATAGTTTTTTTTTGGAAAGTAAGCTTGTATAAGCAATGCAAACAGCAACTTTTCAACAGAGTGCACGAGGAGAAATAGGCTCCTGCATGCTCTCTCACACATTTAACAGGCGTTTGGCCCTCTCTGGAGTGGGTACAGGGTTGTGCATGTGCATTTCTTTTTTTCTTTTATTTCTTTTTTTTTTTTAAGTGGAGAGGGCGGGCCTTTTCAAAAATTCGTAAAAATCGTCCACTATACCTTTAAAGCAGCACTGTTGACATAAGTCTAAGATGAATTTTAGATAAAATGAATATTTCAGGTCAATAACTTTTAGTGGTGTAAAAAATCAGAAGTTACAGATCCAATTTTCTTATTGGCTGAAAGTTACAGTGTCGCTTTAACTTAAAATTTTGCATCAACTGCATTTATTGTTTAGGAATAGTGAAACATTAAGTACTTAAAAAATTAGGAGTTTTTTTTTTTTGTCTTTAGGCAATTAAGAAATTCTTGTTGAGACACTCTGCTCAGAAAGCCCAAATATAAAACACAGACTAAATTATAAAGTGTCTGGTGTGAATGACAACCTTAAAAGACTTTAGGAAGTCATTAAAAGGTAAGATAATAAAAAAAATTATATAAACTTTATAATGCTCGCCATTAGGAAAACTGGAGCATTTAGATCACCTGAAAAACACACAGGGATTTAACATGATGCATTTTCTTAAAGTGCAACTTATGCAAGAGCAGCCTATGATCGGACATTGGTCATGAAATGGACAAACAGCTCCTGGTCCGGGTGGATGGGATCTGTGGCAATATGTCTGTCCTTCTTCTGGACTCCTGTAGCATGTCATGGTGGGTTTCAGTAAAGCCCAGTATGCAGAACACCACGGAAACAGATGAAAAGTTTAACCAAGTTTGAGCACAAGCACATGGAATAAACACAGGAACAGGAGTTTGTGTTAAAGAGTTTATGATTGATACCTTGAGGTGTCCGGGTTTGGCTTTGAGAGAGGAACTGTTGGGTCCAGAGACTGTTTAGTTCAGCAGAGACCAATAACCGCTTCAGCGTCTTACTTCTAACTTGAGGGCAGACCTTGGCTTTGGGTTTCCAGCTCTTAGTCCAGAGCAGCATGGGAATCCAGAGAAGAGTCTTCAGGTTTGGCTCAGAGGGCAGGCTCGGCAGGTTAAGCTCATCCAGAGCTTACAAGGAAAACTGGATTCCTGAAAGCAGAGACAAGGAGGAATTAGAATCCAATCAGGATCTGAAACAACAAAGGTTCTCAGAAGATGCTAGGCTCAGGTGCTAACCAAACTAGATAAACACTGCGGCGTTGAGGCAAGGTCTGAAGGCAGGTTATATACTGGAGGATCCTCTAATGATGAGATGCGCCTCAGGTGTGTCGAAAGCTCAGCTCAGGAGGATCCACGGCGAACTCTGCTGGAGAAAGGTGGAACTTCTCCAGATCCCAACATAGCATAAACTGAGTCCAGACATCCTTCCTTTCCACACATCATGCTGAGACATAGGAGGCTTTCCACCCTGCCTCTGTAAACATTTCTTAGTAGCTGAGTCGAAATTCTGGATTGTTTTAACTTCCTGAGAAAAAAGAGCAATTGTTGGACCTTTTTCACCAGGGGAGAGGTGTGGGGGTTCATATGTAATCAACCAATATTTATAATGTTGTCTTAGGTGTGCATTTTTTAAAACAAACTAAGTGTTGAAAGATCCAAACAAAGCTGTTTTAATGATAACTGACAAGTTCTTGGAAAACCGGGTTTTACCTATTGATCTTTGTTACATACTGATTGTGAGTATTTGTGTATGTGTACAGACAGAAGATGGCTCAGACTCTGTGTATTCACTGGAGTTCACCAGCAGGAGGAGTGAGTGTGTAGTGGGGGACAACAAACCCTGGACAGAGTGTGACTATCTGGCAACTGGACATAGGGTAACACCATTACAGTTATTAATGCATACTGGTTATGACATAAAACAAAGCAGAAACTTCACCTGTTTTCCTACAGGCACCAATTTCATGCAACGCTACAGTCCACATGACAGAATCAGAAGCCGACACCAAACAGGTGGATTGTATGATCGGTGAGTAGATGCATGAAAGATCTTCATAAAAAACAAAAATCACCCTTTTTTTTTTTTTTTTTTTTTTTTTACAAAACATGCATCCACAAGAATTATGAATGGTTGCAGCTAAATAACAAAATTAAATGTCATAGAGTTGAATTATACATCTAAATGTAAGTAAATGAGAATAATCTTACATTAAGATAAAGACATTAAGGGAATAGTTTTTGTCACTAGATTCTTCGAACCTCCCCATGACTTCCAGCACCTGTGTGTCATATTTAGACTAGACAGATCTAACTTGTTTTAGAAATGGCTGGACAGGGATTTTTGATGATAGTTATTCTTGCTTTCTATACACTCTGGCTTTATTGCACTATGCTGTAATCCACTTTACCTTGGAGTCAGCCATCCTTCCCTGAACAGCTGCAGTTTGCCCAGAATACAGCTGCTGCTGCTTCTAATTAGATTGGTAAGGATCTGGGAACACACGATACCAAGTCTGGCTTCCCTCCACTAGTTGGCTGTGCATTTTAGAGCTCATTTTAAGATGATTTTTTTTTTTATTTTAAAGGTTTGCATTGTATAACCTTCCTTGACCTGTCTTCCCTCTGAGCTGTTTCATCCATTGTTTTTTTTGTTTTTTTTCTGTGACATTAATCTTTTAATATCTACTCCCCTGGATGCTAAGTTAAAATGGAAGCTAAGAGGTTAGAGAGACTTTAGTGTGGCGACTTTCAAATTATAAAATTATTCGCATTTAAATATCATACATGCTAATGATAACTGATAATTGAAAAGAAAAATATACAAAACAAATCTACTAGTTGCTGTTACAGAAATAACTTTTTTTTT